TGATGTGTGTCCCTTAGGTTTGTAGCTGTATTTGCAGTCTGCTTATTCGGGACCCAGATTATCTCCTGAAAACCTGGAGAGGCCAGCCTCTGGGTTCAAGGCCATCCCTTTAACAATTCAGGGGGTTTTGGCTGGTTTTTGTAAGTCACACTATTAGGACAGAATGCCTGGAATTTTTCCTGACTGACTTACTGCCGCATGCCTATACGAGACCTTCCAGTGTACACGCCCTTATTTGCTCTCTTCTTCCCTTCGGTGACATTTTCTCAATATTCACCTAAATAGATATGCAAACACATTCAACTCAGTAAACTCAGGTCACGCTTTTGTCTTTATTACCAAACCAGTCCTTGTCAAGGACACTAGTGACCCCTTGTTGCTAAGTCCAGAGGCAATTTTCACCTGTTAATTGTTCATCTCTTCATAACAATGTGTTGTTTCCTTCCTTCTTGATGAACTTTTAAAAAACATGAGCCTCTCTTTTTTGATTATTTAATTATTTATTATTATTATTATTTGTTTCTTTGAGACAGGGTCTCCCTGTAGCCACAGCTGGCCTAGAACTCACTATGGAGATCTGGCTGGCCTCAGTCTCACAGAGATCCGCTCACCTCTGTCTCCCAAGTGCAGTGATTGAAGGTGTGTGACACTGCCTGGCTTTTCTTTTCTGTTTATTGTCATTTGCCCTCTGGACTCCTGACTTTAAATACCTGTGCTGATCACTCTCTATTTTTACGTCACCCTGACTACGTGCTCAGTCACCTACTGGGCAAGGCTACTTGGATGTCTAACAGTAATGACACACTTGATATACTTAAGACTGAGCTCCAAATTGCTCCTCCAAACATGCTCATCCTGTGGTTTTTCATTGCTCAGGAAACGGCCCTTCAAGACAAAACTCTTGGCACACTTCTCCATCCCCTCATTTCATTATTATCTTCTATCCGGCAAATCCATTCGGCACTTCCTCCAGGACATCTCCAGAATCTGACCACATCTCCAGTCTTGCCCTGGTCCAGGTCACTAAAACCCCTGGCCTTACTGTACACCACAGTCTTCCCTCGTCCTGCCTCCTGCCCATGACACCCCCGAGATTGTCTGTGCTCCAGCATAGGCTATAACGTCAACTCTTCTGCTCTTCCTTTGACTTGATTCCCATCTTAGAGTGAAAATCACGGTCTTTATCGCATCCTATTCTATTAGTTAACGTTTTGTTGCTGAGATAAAGCGACTTGCAGAATGAAGAGTTTATTTTGGCTTACGGTTCTGGAGGGAGAGTTTGCAATGGCAGAGGAGACACGGTAGCAAGTGGCTGGAGCTGGAAGCTAGGATGTCACATCTCAACTGCAAACACTAGACAGAGTACACTGAAAGTGGGCGAGGCTCTGAACTCTCACAGCCCACACTCAGTGACCTTCTCCATCAAGTCTACACCTCCCAGACTTTTCCAAATACTGAAACCAACTAGGGTCCAAGTGTTCAAATGCTGGAGCCTTTGGGAGACCTTTCTCATCTAAACCACCACCTACTACAAATCATTACAGAATTCACTCCAACTTCCCACTTGTTTCCTGCTAATCTTTTGTCCTCTCTCTCCTGCTGACCCATCTTCACACACGAGCGGCTCTTGCTCCCTCTTTCCTACCCCAGGACTGCACCTTTCAAGGTCTTTGCACCAATGGGTCCCACAGATATGTAAGTGACTTGTGTCTTCATTTCCTGCCGGGATCTGTTCACTTGCTTCCTGTGAATCCTGCTGATCACCCCACTGACCTGGTGGTTTTTCTCTGGAAACATCCTTCGACCCTCTTGTGCCAATTTCCGTTCATTCCACAGCCCCCCTCACCATCCGGCCCACTGTTCACGCTCCTCATCTACCTTTATTCCTTCTGCTTTCCCCAGTGGAATGTGAGCTCCAAGAGAACATGGATTTTCCCCGTGTCCCTCCTAGTCAACAGAGATGCTGACTTAGAGCAGGTAATAAGCACTTACGGCACACATGAACAAGCTAACTTGACCGTAAATACCTAAATCATCTCACAACTTGTAGGTATGACTAATGTTTTTTGAGTGTTGATTCCAAACCTTCCTCTTGGGACTAGGAAAAAAAGCATCATGTATCGTTTCAAACAAATGTGTTAGAAGTCTCTGTTGCCTGTTCCTCCTCGTGCACCTGGCTCTGGAGTTTATTGGGCTGATCTCCGCTGTTGTGATGTGGACAGTCCTCTACACCCTGCTGGCAAATCTTAGACATTCCACTTCAGACACTACATTTTTACCACCAATATTTACATAGCTCTGGGTGTTCCTTTCACTTACTAGATATCAAGGGAATGAAATCTTCTCATGCCATACTAAGTGACCCCGTTAGTGATCACACAGACTTTTGAAGATTTATTTTTCTGGATTGATTACTATGTCATGGCTGGGTGAGACCCTCCTGGGGTATATTTATATACCAATTCCATTTTATTTTTTGATATAGTCCATATTGTGTGAGATTCATCCAACATGATCTACTTATTATTCCAGTTATTTTTTGTACCAGTGGTGTGTGTGCAAGGTCTTCCCCTGAAGAAACCCAGCCACTGTGTACTGTTCCAGCCAGCTTCAGGGACTTGGATACCCAGCAATTCTTGCTGACCCAGCTGGAAGAGGCCAAATGACTCATTTCACTCTTGGGGGCTATTACTGGGTTTCCATATTCCCTGCTACTATAAATAGCACTTCAGGGGGCATTGAGGTACTCTGCAGTCTAGCTCAGTGTTTGCAGAAGAGTCACATGCTGTCTGGGTAGACACAAGTCACCCGTCCCTTAATGCCTCCTCAGTTCCAGACAGGAGCACACAGAGCCTTCATTTACTCTGCACGGGGCTTCACTCACGGCAAATGTTTTTATGCCTTGGTTTATGCTGCTTGTTCCCTATGCCTGGCAGCCTCCTGTGTGTGTGTGTGTGTGTGTGTGTGTGTGTGTGTGTGGTGTGTGCATGCGTGTGGTGTGTGTATGGTGTGTGTGTGTGTGGTGTGTGTGCATGTGCATGCGTGTGGTGTGTGTGGTGTGTGTGTGGTGTGTGTGGTGTGTGTGTATGGTGTGTGTGGTGTGTGTGGTGTGTGTGTGTATGGTGTGTGTGGTGTGTGTGTGGTGTGCGTGGTGTGTGTGGTGTGTGTGCATGTGCATGCGTGTGGTGTGTGTGGTGTGTGTGTGTATGGTGTGTGTGGTGTGTGGTGTGTGTGTGGTGTGCGTGGTGTGTGTATGTGGTGTGTGTGTGGTGTGTGTGTGGTGTGCGTGGTGTGTGTATGTGGTGTGTGTGTGGTGTGTGTGTGGTGTGCGTGGTGTGTGTATGTGGTGTGTGTGTGGTGTGTGTGTGGTGTGCGTGGTGTGTGTATGTGGTGTGTGTGTGGTGTGTGTGTGGTGTGCGTGGTGTGTGTATGTGGTGTGTGTGTGGTGTGTGTGTGGTGTGCGTGGTGTGTGTATGTGGTGTGTGTGTGGTGTGTGTGTGGTGTGCGTGGTGTGTGTATGTGGTGTGTGTGTGGTGTGTGTGTGGTGTGCGTGGTGTGTGTATGTGGTGTGTGTGTGGTGTGTGTGTGGTGTGCGTGGTGTGTGTATGTGGTGTGTGTGTGGTGTGTGTGTGGTGTGCGTGGTGTGTGTATGTGGTGTGTGTGTGGTGTGTGTGTGGTGTGCGTGGTGTGTGTATGTGGTGTGTGTGTGGTGTGTGTGTGGTGTGCGTGGTGTGTGTATGTGGTGTGTGTGTGGTGTGTGTGTGGTGTGTGTGGGGTGTGTGTGTGTGGTGTGTGGTGTGTGTGGTGTGTGTGTGTGTGTGTGTGTGTGTGTGTGTGTGTGTATAGGCCAAAGGTTCACATTGGTTATCTTTCTCAATTGCTCTACATCTTAGTTTTTGATACAGGGTCTTGCCCTGAACCTGGAGCTCACTGATTCAGCTAGGCAGGCTGGCTAGTGAGCCGTAGAGATCTGTTGCCATCTCCCCAGAGCTGGGAGCCACCACACCCAGCTTATATTTTCAGACTTATTAGTTTTATTTGTATGTGTATGTGCATGTGAATGTTTGCCACATGTGTGTAGGTGTCCATGGAAGCCAGAAGAAGACATCAAGTCTCTTGGAGCTAGAGTTACAGGCAGTTGTGAACTGCCCGATGTGGGTGCTGGGAACAGAGTTCTCAGCCTCTGGAGGAGCAGTTATCCCTCTTAACCACTGAGCCATCTCTCCAGGCCCATACCAACCTTTTATATGGGACCTAGGAATCAAACTCGGGCCCTTTACCAACTAAGCCACCCCCCAGCACTCTCATTATTCTTCACTGGAGGAAGCGTTTCTGCGTGATGGCACCGTACTTCCCAGCCCTTCTGGGCTTCCCACAGCAGGTGGTGTGACTCGCTTCTACAAAATCAGCAACTTCACAGTACAGTTTAGTTTGTTGCCTAAGCTCATGTTCCCCTCACTGCTTCCTCTCAGCACCACCACACTGTGCATCCTGAAGCCTCTGACTTCTGTGTCCTTCTGTCTGTCCTTAGCAGTTAGCATAGGAAATACCCAGAATCCTCCGGGGGAGTGACTGGCTAATGGTGTGAATGAATGACGGTGCAATGAAGTATAGGAAGGTAATTCATTTGGCTTTGTTCCCTGCCCAATGCCTTTACAAATAGCCCTGCGTTTAATCTGGATTTTTCTGTTTTCCCTAGCAAACACCATGTACCACGTGCTTAGACAATTTGAGAAAGAAAACAAAATCTTGTTATATTTTAATATATTTCAGGGAGATTTTTTCTGGGGTTTTTGTTTTGTTTTACTTTTTTGTTTAAACGTCAAAGGAACAGGCTTGTCTGTTCCCCAACCGTTTCGCGGCATCCTGCTTTCGAATACCCATTTCATTCTGCGTAGACTTCATTCAAATTCTCCAGAAAAAAATCTGCTGTGAACAATGATGTCGTGAGCGGTTGTGTGTTCTTTGCAGTGAAAACCGGCCTTGTTTTCTGTTGCTAGGCAACCCCATTCCAGCTGCCATTGAAGAAATGTGCGGTGGTGGGAAATGGTGGGATTCTGAAGAGGAGTGGCTGTGGCCGTCAAATAGATGAAGCCAATTTTGTCATGCGGTAAGAGCGCACCCACAGAGGCCGCCCGTCTCTGCTTTCTTCCCACCCCTTCCAGAAGCCTTTCAAACCCGGTGGCTTGCATTAACCCCTTCTAGAACTCTCTTTAGCTCCCATCAAGCTCATACACGAGTGAGGTTAGGAGTTCGAAAGGGGAGCGAGGGAACGTGACCTCCCTGAGAAAGTTCAAAGCCAAGAGTGCGCTGGTGTAGCGGAGGTTCCCACGCTGGCCGATGGGGCGAGCAGAACAGCAGTGTCGTCCGTACAGCTCCATGGCTGGTGGTTAAATTGGGAGAGTTGCTCTTTCCTCAAGGCTAGCCCGGTATGAACAAACACCTTAATTTATCCAATTTACCCGATGCCCTTTTCCTCTTAATCTTCCACAAAAGCACCTGAAAGGGCCAAGTGGGATTTAAAGAGGGAGATTAGATCTGTGTGTGACTGAGAACTGGAAGGCAGGATAGGGAGGACCCTTCACAGGGGAAGGAAGCTTGGTCAACAGACTGAATTTAGCAACCTGGGGATGTAGGGATGAGGACATGAGCTTTGGTGAAGGACAGGAGGCCCCTGCAGGGTGGTGGTAAAGAATTTCAAAGCTAGTTCAAGGAGGAGGCCATCCAGCTGTAGAGCACCAGCCTGCCACTGCTGGTTGATTCCAAGCCTGCATGCTGAGGAGCCAGGTGCAGAAACAAAGACAGCAGTGGCTGCATTTGGTGCAGGTAGGAGGCCGTCTGGGCAAGAAAGAAGAAAGATGGGGTGTCCAGAGGGTATGCTCTGGATAGAAAACTTGGGAAGTGACATCCCAAAGCCTGGTCAGGATGGTGTTGGGCCGTGAAGGAGTAAGGAAGGGGCCAAGTGGCAGGGCCACTCAGAGCTTGGGTGGGGTTGGGGAGTGAGGTGGGGATGAGGGAGATGTAGATTAGGTAACAATCCCAAGGCTAAGAATTAGTGGTCCCTGGAGATTGCAGAGCTCAGCTTCTCTGGGGGTCAGTTAGACACAGTGTCTGAGGACTTGAACCATTGAAGAAGTGAAAGATTAGCTTCAGAGGTTGGGGCTTTCTTTCAGCGGACTCCAAAGCCTCAGGGAACTGGGGCTAAGTGTGTGCCAGGGCACAAAGGTGCTGTAGTTGGGAAGGCTGAGGTCTCCTAGGGCTACAGATGGCAGCAACAGCCCCAGGGGTAGGAAGCCCAGCAAAGGAGGGAGATTTTGTGTTTATTTCAGAAGTGTCCGAAAGATAGCTTACGGCACAGATGTGAGGAGCTGAAATCAGTCTCCACCCAGAACTCATGGAAAAAGCCAGGAACACCAGTGATCCTAGGACTGGAGAGCTGGACCTGTGAGAAGCCCCAGGGCTTGCTGACCACCAGTCTAGTTGAATTGATCAAGTCCAGGTTCAGAGAGATGCTGTCTCAAAAAATAAGTTGGAGAGCAATTGAACAAGACACCCTATGTGGACCTCTAGCCTGTATATATGTGTATGCATATGTACACATAAACACATACATAGATGAGAGAGAGAGAGAGAGAGAGAGAGAGAGAGAGAGAGAGCGCTCTAAACCTCATTGATGCTCCAAGCTAAGGAAAGGAGGAGAGAGAGGAGAGTAAAGATTGTTTGAGAAAGTTTTAAGAGAAACTTTTCCTACGGGATAGCTGTGTTTTCTTAGAGTGAAGGAGAGTTGGACTACCAGCAAGGTATGTTACCTCACTTGATGAACTTGCAGTGTGTGTATGTGTGTGTGTTTGCATGGCCTTCCATCCCTGCCTTTTTTCCATGTAGGAGTGTGTTTCTTCTCTGTAGTTTTACTTTATTTTTGGAATATATATAAATAGCAGGAAGAAGGCGGATGGAGTCATTCTTTTAATTCAAGCCAATCCAGCACCTGGTACATACTAGGTCTTAGGCTGGGCCTGGAAATGGTGCCCTGAACTGTTGTGCCGTAGCCTTACAGCCTGTGGATGTGCTGTAACAGGAGGCCTGGGAGACAGGCGGTGGCCAGTGTTGGTGCCAAATTCTCTTTGTTCCTCTCCAGGCTAAGGAACGAACTTTCTTTCTTTCTTTTTTATTATTTTTATTTTATGTGTATGAATGTAATGCCTGCATGTAGGCAGGTTCACCTGTGGTGTGCAATGTCTGCGGTGGTCAGAAAGCTTCAGATCCCATGGAACTGGAGTTATGGTGATTGTCAGCTGGCATGTGGGTGCTGGGAATTGAACCCAGGTTCTCAGCAAGAGCAACCAGTGCTCTTGATTGCTGAGCCATCTCTCCAGCCTGCTTTTCTTTTCTTTTTTTAATTTCTAACTTTTTATGTGTGTGTTTTGCCTGCGTGGTAAGTGCACCATGTCATGCAATACCTGAGGCGGCCAGAAGAGGGCATCAGATTCCCTGGAACTGGAGTGCAATTGATGGCTGGCTGCCATGTGGGTGCTGGGAAACCAATCCTGGTCAATCCTGGCCCTCTACAGGAGCAGCCAGTGCTTAACCACTAAGCTATCTCTCCACCCCTGGAACAAGCTTTTCCAAAACCCTAAAACAGAGGAAGGTTTCATGGAAGAACCTTCATAGTTCTAGCAAGTGTTGCCGAGGTGTCACGAAACCTGAGAAGAGGGAGCAGAGGTATTTAAATGATGGAGTCCATAAAATCACACAGGAAGCAAGGGATGAGGAGGGTAGCAGGGGACTCTGGCCAATTACAGACACCCACTCCAGTATGTATCACATGAAGCTGAGGAGCCAGCAAAGAGCACAGGGTTGAGCGCACACGCCTTGCCCTTGACCAGTCAGTGCCTTGAGGGTGTCATTTTACCTCTGTTGAGGCTGTCTGAGGAGGAGGGAAGGAGATAGTCTCTCAGGCTTGTGACAAGCCTGGCTTTATCTATAGTTCTCTGAACACTGTATCACTGTAAGAGTTCACATCGTTGTTTAAATCCTCAAATTGCTCTCAAGCAAATACTAGGTGAAGAAATATCCCCAAGCCTTTGGAAGCAGAAGCCTGGCCCCAGCAGCTCTGACAGGCAGTCATCCTTCCCCAATATGCTGAATGAAGAGACAAGAAATGGTGAAAAGCAGAGCGAGATTTATTCAGTGTGGCCACATTGGGAAGAGCAAAGGCATCCGACAACCCCAAGTCCCTCTTTGGCCACCTTACCTGAGATTTAGGCGTAAATAAAGTGTAAGAGGCATGCGTAATTAAGTGGTCCTGGTCAAGGTGCAGTTCTGTCCCTTGTTGATCCAGCACTCTCTTAGTGCCCATCCTGTCCTACAAGCTTGCCCTGCAAGATGTCCTGCCCTGCAGTGTGGCCATGAATTGTCAAATTGCTAATCTAATAATCCCTCTAATGGACAACTGTCTTCATCTGGAATAGAAGGTCTGTCCAAGGAGGTTTAATTTTGTCTGCAATTTAAGGTGACTTAAGAGGAAATATTAAGGACCGTAGCTCACTTCTGTTTTAGCACCAAAAGCACATGTATAAAATGAAGACAGAGACACCCGACTTTCATACTGCCTTTAGTTACCTTGTGGGTCTAAGGGAGGAGTCAAGGCTTTTTTATATATATTTTATATTTTATTTTTTTATTTTATGTATATGAGTGTATTGCCTGCATGTATGTAAGTGTACCATGTCATGGAATGCCTGTGAAGGTCAGAAGATGCATCGGATCCCCTGGAACTGGAGTTACAGACAGATGTTAGCCACCATATGGGTGCTGGGAAGGGTCAGAAGAAGGCTTCGGATTCCCCTGGAACTGGATTTAAAGATCGTTTGTAGTTGCCATGTGGGTGCTGGGAATTGAACCCGGGTCCTCTGCAAGAGCAATCAATGCTCTTAACTGCTGAGCCATCTCTGTAGCCCTGGAGTCAAGGCTTTTTAACAGAAGCAGTCTCCAAATGCCTTTTTGAGAAGGTGCAGATAGTGTATTAAACATGTTGAGAGAAGTTAAATGATCCCAAGTGGTCTCAATACAGTACGCAGGAGGGAGGTATAATAAATGTATTTTCCTATGGCTCCTGACTCTGTGTGCGTTTGTGATACAGGAATATCGAGGTGTCTTTGAGAGCAACAGAGCCTTTCTTGTGCTTAGTTTGAGAAGTTAGGGTCCTCAAAACTCAATGGCTACCAAAGCCACCTTAAGCCAGAGGCTTTTGAGTTCTTGTCTTGTGAATTTGAAGAATGAAAATCATGGACCACAGAGGAAGAGTTTTAGAAAGGGGTATTTTATTATAGGGAACTTAGGGTAGAGACAGCAGAGCTCCTGCACAGCAGGATGGTCCTCAGAAGTGGGAATCCACTGACTCTGGTTACTCCGGAGTCAGGGAGGGTTTAGTGGAGGGAGGAGGGGAGGGGAGATGAACTGGTCAGTCTCATTCTCATTCCAGGTGTCCAGGTCTCTCCAGAGTCTGGTCACATCTTCAGCATGTCTTTCAGGAACAGGTATTACTCCAGGACAAAGAGAGATAAGGAAAAATCCCAGACCTCCTTACTGGTATCCCCAGCCTCTGGCTATGGCAGAATCAGAGATGTCTTTGGACAGGTAGCTCTGGCATCTCTGCCTCAGGTAGGGACACTTGTACTGGCAGATCCAAGGGATTTTTCCAGCTCTCAGCTGAGGAAGAAATTGGTCATTTTTCTTTTGGGGTCTTTACCCTAAATTTCCTAGCCAGTCAGTTTCTGCCTCCTCCTCTCATCATTGTGTGAATGAGTGTGTGTGTGTGTGTGTGTGTGTGTGTGTGTGTGTCTGTGACTACCATTAGGAAGATGAAAATGAGTATTTTCTTTTTCTTTTTTGTCTTTTTGAGACAGGGTCTCCCTGTAGCCCCAACTGGCCTGGAACTTGCTCTGTACACCAGGCTGGCCTTGAAATCACGAAGATCCACCTGCCTCTGCCTCCTGCTGGGATTAAAGGCACACACCTTCCTGAAGAGGAAGATGAATATTTTTAACTTAACATGTAGAAGGGCAGGCTTAAGAACTACAGGGTATTATCTCATGACACCTTATTTAT